GCGATTTTTCTTTCCCCCCGAACTACGGTGATCACTAACGGGGAGGAGGAGGGAGCTTCCAGAGTTATGGGGAGTGGGGGAGGGAGGCAAGCGGTATCGAACAGAGTTTTCTACAGTAAAACAGCTGCTGTCTGAGCCCCATTAAAATAATTTTTGGTGAAAGGAGCCCCTTTTGCGAAGGAATCGAATCAAATTTCACCTTCACTATGTCCGCATCTTTTGAAACACAACATGTCAACTATTACATCACCGGCCCTTGCGCTTCATACATAGCAGTTGGAGTTTATCAACCCATAATCTATGTCAACATTCTCTCCGTAGTGCTGACTACTATTACATGCACGGCATTTTGACTATTTTTCGTGGATATCCGCAAAATGTGTTGTGGAAATTGGAAACGGCAAATTTTCCCCCTGTCTCATTTTTTGTGACAGACGAGAGCATCCGGAATTGGCTCAAACAATGGCCTTTTTTCAACAACAACCATACATTCAATAAGATTTCTGATGGTTTACTTTTTTTGAAAAAAAATCAAGTCACTCCACATACAGGCTGCTTGCTTATTTGGCAGGTCTAAATGCCACTTCCAGTTTTTCATTAATTGTCAAAATTCGATTGTGTTCCTCTCCACGGTGGGCCAATAACGCCAAACAAACTGCATATGTTAACATATAGAGGATTTTCAGGCCCCCCTTCTCTTCCAGTCTCCTTGCCGCGAATATTCACTGTTTGTATCTTTAAAATTTCTAAAACGCCTTATCTCTTCACAACGTAGACTGGCTAGTACCACTTTTTTAAAGAGCTTTTTTTCTGAAAAAAAAGCATACTTTGATAGCAACTGCGAAGCCTTGCAGTATTTCATCGGCACCATCGCCCAGCAAATGTAAACCAACAACCTGCAAAACATGGTTCGCTGTTAATTACCTGTTAATTCTTAAAGTTAAAAATCAAAATCCCCGTCGTATTTACATTCAGAGGTGTCCCAAGTGATAACTGGTGCCAGTAGTAGCCACCCATAGACAAAACTGTAGATGACTTTGTCTTCTAAAGGTTCACGAAAAGATCAGATAACAAGTAGCATGCCATCAAAGTTCGTGTAATGGCAACTGATACAAGTAAACACTCAGTGTTGCTTGTGTGATGCTCGAGTAACGCATATTTCCCATCGGCGCCCGCCCATTTATATAAGTAACGATCGTTTTTGGGTGCAGTACTCGAGCATTTGCTATGGGCCACTTGTATTGGCAAGCCATCGTAGCACCGAGTTCAAGTAATGCCCGGAAAATTTTTATGTAACATAGCTCAATCGCTCGTGGATAGCATGTGGCGGGGTTACAGCTTCGTGTCGCTCGACAACCGCCCTATCGTGCTATGGGACTGCTTCGTCGTGTGATGGAATGGTTGTTATATCACGTCCTCTGCTGCCGGTGGACGATAGCAGAATGCGACTTTTGGGGCGAGAAAGGACAGGTTCGTTTCTAATGCATTTATGTGGTTTTTGATAATTTTTGACTTTCAATAATTCTACTTTAATTTAGAAACGAAAATGCCACCATACCCCGGTTTATTGGGCAGAGGTCCCAGATCCTAACAATAAATAATCGTAAATAGCAAAACCATTCCGTGGATTTATGGGGTGTGTTTCAAAAAAACTCTTGTCCTGAACCACCTAAGAAGAAGCCTTGTCCTGATCCTGACCTC